CCACCTCTTGGCGGTGTCACAGATTGAGTCGAATTGTTACAATATTGTTGTAATACAATGGTGATCTGGGAGACATCCAAGTGTCATCATCTGTCAATTTTCCATTTTCTTGAGTTGGTTTGGTAGCATAAGATCCAAATATTAAACAATAATTTCCTGGGACAGAACCCAAAAGATTGAATTCTTGAAGACTGTCATCAGTAAATTTAAGGTTTTGCACAAATGCAACAGCTTGCGCTCCCAGAGTGCTATTTAAATTTATTTGAGCTCTGGTCCAAGTTTTGAACTCTGCAATGGGACCCAACGAGACTCCAATTAAACAAGTATAAAAAGGGGGTTAGACGGTGTGGCTAACAACAGGCAGAATTAATCTTGCCTAGTTTGTTTGGCCCAAGTGATCCACATATTTTCTCTCTTGTCAATGTCAAGGATTCCCGATACTTCAACAACCAAAACACTACTTAATAAAAACATTGAGGCCCACCACATTCTTCTCAGGTTTTTGAATGCCCTGTTTAACATGAAAGAAACAATCTTAATTCTAAACATAAACTATAACTTCTAATAAACTAACTTCTGATAAATCTAACTTCACACTTATGATATTTTAACCTCTTTCTCTGTACTCTACAAACTTAATTTTCATCAGAACTGGATTCATCACGGGATGTTCCAGGCAAACTGTTGTTGTTCGTGTTGTTATCACTGCGGGTTGGTATCTTTTTCATCTATTTTTAAAATTCTGTTTCTGCCCTTTCGTATCAATGCAGCAAGAGCATCTGTCCTGTCCATCACACGACTTCTTGGTTGGATGGGTAAAAACACCCACTCAAGTAAAATTTCTGTTGATCCACGTTGGGACCTCCCTCTTTTTCTTTTGCCATTGAAAGACAATGGCAAGATGAACAAAAAAATCACAGGCATTACTAAAACTTATTAAAACTTAGCAAAAAAAAATTCTATAACATCATTAAAAACACACTTATTAAAAAAAACTTCAAAGCCCACGATCTTCTGTGGGTGAAACACAAATCTTTGCACAATCCACTTTTTCTGTGCATCTTCTGATCCACTTGTGGAGAGATCAGTGCCCTCTTGCAATTGATAAGTTCTACATTCTTCACTGAAATCCATCTAGATTCTGCACCTGTTAAAACACAAACCCAACACCCCCACAGGGACTGGAGGGTCCTCTCTCAATTCTTTTCCCTAAAACTTGCATGAAGAAATGGAAATATCAACATCTTTGTTATAAACATGAAAAAAAAAAAAACATCAAAAACAAAACAATGCACATAGTAGAGAAACTAACAACAAATAAAAATCAATCAGATAATATACAATCAATATTACATATAAAATCACAGTTACCAAATGCTACACTATCAAATTGTCATCCCAGAGTCTGCAGCAGCTGAAAAACCTTAAAACAACAGAGATTTGGATAAAACATGTCCGGATCATGTCTCTCCAAAACTCCCTTTGAGGCTCAGCTGCCCTATATGGTCAAATTGTCAAGCCAAAAGGACTTGAATACTTTTTGATGCAGGAAACACCTGGGTCAATCACACCATCCACATAGAGCCAGAGCTTGGCCAGAGCTCAAACCCTAATTGGAGGATATGTTTAAAACAAAAGTCTTAGAAATAACTGTTATAAGTAGAAAACCTTATTATTAACAATTTATCAAACCATCAAATAATTGAACCTGTCTAAAATTTCTTTTAAGACAAAAATTCTCTAAATACAACAAACTTTTTCTTCAAAAATCTTAAAATTTGAACTCTGAAATCTTGAACCAAAACTTGGACTATAAATTTGTAAAAGAAGATGAACTGCAGCTGCATAAAAGATTGGATAAAGAAAACACATGAGTAGTTAAAAAATCAAAAACACAGGATCCTGAAAAAACACATCTTACAATCAATCACCTACAAAGACAATAAAACATATGAAAACTGACTGTAAATATTAAAACAACACCTCAATACCTTAACATCTTAATAATAATTCTTATCACAAAATCAGACAACTTACATTATATGATCAACCTATCAACAAGAAATGTTTAAAATAGTTTAAGACAATTTTTTCAAAGCATTCATATAACATTAGTAACAATCACTACTTATCATTACCTACAAAAACTTGACAATCATCATTTATCCTATTATCTATAAAACTCAAAAATCAGAAATTGTGAACTCAATACCAACATTCCATCTGACTGACTTTTCTCAAATCTTTGTTTTCAGAGACATTTTTGGCAATTAAATCATTATTAACATTTCTATCTTTCATCCACATTGTGTTTAAAATAACTTTGATTTGCATAATGTCCATCCCTCTTGGCATCTTGGAAAACACTCGGTACTGCTATACTTTTTCATTATGTCTTCTGACTCTTGCGAGGAATTGAAAAAATTCTGTTGAAATTTTTGCTGTAGTGTTGCAATCCCTCCATTGGTGACACTGCTGCTCTTGGCGTTGTCGTTACCGTGGCAACCAGGCTGTGCAGCGTCTCCACCGCCATTGCTGGGTGCTGCGGGGAGATGAGGGGGGCGGCGCCGTCTCGCTCCCGTCCTTGCTGCGTCACTGTGGGTCGGCCCCCGGGAACGCCCATCTCCCTCGTCGCGCTGTTGCTCAGCAACAAGGAGCCTTCTGTCTCTCGGCCGAAGTCCGCTCCGCCCCGGGGCTGCCTCAGGCTCGGTGCTGCCCGGCCCCGCTCTGCCTGCCCCGCTCTGCCTGCCACTCCACGCTGCCACTTCGCGCTGCCGCTTCTGCGGTCCACCCGGGCGGCTGGCTGGTGCTCACCGCCGCACCCTGCTGCTCTCCGCCACAGCCCGTTGCCTTAGTTCTGCCAACCCGTTCCACAAGGGACGAGGAAGGGCTTTCTGTAACTTTTACTTGCCTTTGTATCTTGTTTTGTGATCGCTTGTTCATGCTACAATTGACAACAGGAAGGTCTGGCTCTGAGTCATCGGAATTTGAACTCGGTGGGAGTGGGCAGCGCCGCGCCACGGTGGTGGGGTGGGGGCTGCCTGGGGCGGGGGTCTGCGCTGCTGTTGTCTGTGTAACTCTCTCTGCGATCCCGCTAGCAGGGCTGTGCCCGGCCCCTCCAAACCGCGCCAGGTTGCTTGCCGCCGCCGCCGCCGCTAGGTACCGGCGAGCCGCGCTTCTGCGCATGCACGCACCCGCGGCAGCCGCCGCCGCGGCTGCTGCGGGGGGGCGAGGGGCCAGCGCCGCCGCGCTCCCGTGTCCGCCCTGGTCTCCGTTTTGATCTCCGCCCCTGAGTTCCTCCTCCTGACTCAGCCCTGTTTCGTCACCAACTCCGCCTGCCTCCTCAGGTGTCTCCCCGCCTCCCGAGGGACCCGACGGGGCCCCTTCTGGGTTTGCCTCACTCCGCGGGACCGCCGAGCTGTTAACATCCGCTGCTTGCGAGCACACTTCCGCTCCGGCCATGCGTCCGCTCTGTCCCGTGTCGGCCGGCTCCACTCCTGGCTCTGCACTTCCCTCCAAACGAGCTACAAAATCTCTGACAGAGGGACTGACTGGAGCTTTCTGCCCTCGCACTGGCCGCATATTACAAACATTAAAGAATTTTTCAACCCGAGATGGCTTCTGAACTTCTGTCTGTTCTGATGTGGGTTGCTCAAATGCCTGAACCGCGGCTTCCGCTGCTTTTTTCTCCACAGGCATGCTTTGCAGGGTATGTAAAACTTTTTTCCAAATGCCTCCATGCTCCAACAGTGTTTTCTTGTCTTTTCCGCCCTCTATCACTGCGTCCCAAAGCAGCTGCCCCAACTCTTGCCATTCGGTTTCACTAAAAATCAGCGAAGGCTTTTGCAGCTTGCCTTTGTTTCTTGCCCACAGGACCAACTGCTCTAAATCGGCTTCTTTAACTTTTTCAGCTCTCTTTGAGAGAATATGAAAGAGAAACCGCACTGAAGCCTGCAGATCCCCATCCATGGTGAACTTTCACCCTCTCTTTCTGCCCGCGGCTTTCCTCCAACCTCTGCGGTTTGCTTCGCTCTCGCTTTTCTTCGGCAAGGCAGCAACCCCGCTCCAGCTTCCCGGCCCCGGCCACGTCCACACCCGCCGTTCGGGTCCCTTGTGAACGCTGAGGTCTTCCCACTGCTCCAACGGACTCTCACAAACAAACAGCAATGCGAAGAGTCTTTTTCCTCCCGTTGGGAAACGGCCCAATTCGGAGTTTGGAGACTTCTGCTCCGTTCCACCTGATCCCCGTTCACAAAAAGTGAATTTGGGATCCCGGCCCCGTCACCATGAGGCGATTTGGACCTGAATTTTCGTCGCGCAACTCAGACTCAGCTCCCCGTTTTTCTAAAAGTAATTTGGGATCCTTTTTCGGAGCCTCCTGAGTCCCTGTTCCGGGCGCCACTAAAAGCCAGGGAATCTCAGAAAAACGGAAAGCTGGACAAGACAAACGCAGGTCTAAACCAATGTGGTTAATCAAGCATTCTCCCTTTATTCAAGATAAGGTGGTAGTTTATATAAGCTTCTACATAGTTTACAAAAACAAAGACACTCTGATTGGTAGGCTAACATTGTTTACCTTTTCCTTAAAACGGCCTACACCTTACACTATGAAACCTATACTAATTCACACCCAGACAGCCCAGTGATCCCCATGACACCTTAAGACATTTTCTATCTGCGCCACAAGCTCTGAATTTCTAACTGTGTCAGAGGCTTGAAGGCCTCACCAGGCCTCAATCTGAGGCCTAGACTGGAGTAGCTCAAATTTCATAATTCATGTCCTCTTTCTCTCAAAAATGCTGCAACAAATTACAATTTCTTAAAAGGCTGAAAACTGAAGAGAACAGAGCAGAGGCTGGGCTGCTGTCCAGAGGCTGGGCTGCTGTCACTACAATTCTTTGTTCTCATCTGTCAGAAATCGATTGAGCTGGAAGCTCATTTGAACCTTAATTTAAGTAGTGACTAAGAGCACACATATTTAAATGACCTTCTCCAGATCTTTCTATTTCTTCTAAATATTTCTTTTAGAATATGGAGAACTTATGCTACAGACTGCAGAGGCACTAAGTAATGACTAAAGGAACTTGCCTATGAATTGCTTCAAGGTAAGTAAGTGGTTTTCCCACTATCCTTCTTCCCTTCTCCTTTGGAAAATCTAAAATGTTTTCATCAGAAACAGTCAAGTCATCTATCACAGCATCCAATAGATCCTATGAATGGTCTAGAACAAATATTGTTCTCCAGAATGTCCTTCTTTTACCTTTTTAAAACTTGACTTTCAGGGGGAAAATGTGGTTCTTTAATCTTGGGTAGACTCAATGAAAATCCACTTTTCAAAAATAAATTGTTAGGAATTGATTGGGAGGATGGCTTCTTCAGCAATATGTTTTAAAAGTGATTGCCAAAACATACCAGTGAAATTTGGAGTGTAGGAAAAGTCTATTAAACAAACTAAACAAATGAAAAGAAACTGACCTGATTTGTACAATCATGTACAGACACATATACATACACATGGATAAAAATGAGTATTTTATTCCTGCAACCAAACTATCTTAAGTTGCTTAAAACCACAGAAATAATGACAAGTAATATTTTCAATTATAACTCATAAAAGAAAGCGCTGCTACTTACTTAGAACAAAAAATCATATTAGAAACAATATTCAGGCCAAAATATTTTCAGAAGAAATATGGTTTCAAATAGACTTGGATACTTTCTACTCCTTAAACTGCCAAGAGCTACCTTTACATTGTGGAACAGAAGTGAAAAAGTGGTAACCAAATAAACTGTTCTTTGGTAGTTTGTTTGTGAGTTTGAGCTTTTAGATTTTGTTTTTTGGGGTTTTTGGTTTTGGGGGCTTTTTCCTTGGTTTGCTATTGTTTCTAACACAAGATCTATTTCTTACTTAGTATGTTAAATAACCCTATCAAGACATAGTTAGGTTTTGATTTGGGAAGTACATCAAATGTACAAGTTTTGATAGAAGTTCATGCCTAAAAAACAACATGAAACAACTCTTCAGATGGAACCAAGTAGTTGTACACCTTTGGTTCTAGATACTTGGGACTAACTATTTATTTCCAGCAGAATTCTTTCCATTGCTTTGTGAATGTGGCATTTTTTGTTATAAATATTTTGACTTTTCTGACGAAGACTGGAAACCAAAACCTGTAACAATCAATATCAGAGTAACAAATTAATTCACCAGGAAAAAGAACTAGATGGTAGATGAGGAGATGCTTTTCTTTTTTTCCAAGTCTAGATTCTAATAGTGGGGTAACTGCCCTTCAAGCAAGATGGCAGAAATAAACAGAGGAGCATGCTGCTCTTAAAAGTCTGATGAGAATCTCTGTTTGATAAATTATGAATGTGTTCTGGGATTCTGGAAAGAATAGAAAATTGTCTTTGATTGATGGTGGGGAAAAATAGTGGAGAAGTATAATGAGAATACTCTTTGATTTAGTGCATTTGTCTTCTAGAAACAACACCATAAATGCTTTCTAATGTTAAATGACAGATCAGCCAATTGAACCATTTCTGGAAATTTTTCCCAGTGTTAAAAAAAAAAAAAAGCTTTTGCAGATATTAGAAAAAAAAACCCAAATTGATCCAAGAAGTATTAAATTATAGATTGTAAAGGCTATTAAAAATGCAAAAATTGCTGATGGGAAGCTAATAGGTGGCTAAAGATGGTTTCACAGGGTACATGTCTCTAAAGAAATACTCTAACTAAAAGCCATCAATTCTTTATATCATCATTTTATCCTCTTTCATAATTTAAATGTGAATGAAAAACATCATTAAGGACTCTAGATGTAGATCTCAGATTCATCTTACATATCAAGCAAATATTTTTTCACTGGTTTGCTTGAAGTTCTGCTGACTGCATTGTGCATTTATTGGCTTTCTTTTTTGCTTCTTTCTACTTTCAATACTGGGCAATTCCTGCCATCGACAGAGTATGATTTCTCTCACCTAAGCAAATATATTTCTTTTTTAGGGTCCCTTTCTATTAAATGGACAGAAAAGGAATTGATTTATTCCACCTAACATTGATTATTTTGGTAAAGGTCACCTGGAGAAAACTTTTTTCTGCTGGGATTCAACTCAAGGAGTGAAATAATTGAGAAGACGGGTAGGCACTGGAGCATGGAGAGCCCTTCAGTCTCTGGGGATATATACTACAGAATAAAATTATCAACTCTCTCAACTTTATTGACTGTACTGAGAATAATTCTGACTATAATCTGTTTCACACATAGATACCCCTTTGAAAGATGTGGGAATCCAAGGCTTCCCTCTAGCTGCCCTGGCAGGTCTGGGACCCTGGCAGGGGGTCAGGAACCCCCCTGGACAGAGCCCCGTGAGACACTGTCTGTGATCTCTGTCCATGGAGAGGAGTTTTCAATCTTACAGGATGAATTACAAGCTTTGAGTGTTTGATAAGAGTAATATTTAAGTGTGACACGGGTGCAAAAGTAAAATTTTAGATTTCTAGATTAGGGGTTCAGAGGGGACAAGATGGAGGAATTGGGTGTGTCTTGTCCTTTTCCTCCTTCTTCATGCCCTCCATGTTTCACTGTAGTGTTGGCATTTTTCTATTGGTTTAGGCTGGGAACACACTGTTCAACGTAGATGATAGATATTGGCACATTATTGTAAATATAGTACACGTAGTTTCTGGTATATAATGTTTGTACCATCCCACTGAGGGGCAGAGCCCCACACGCTGCCCTGCAGGACAGACCTGTGGCAGGGCAGCAGAACATGTTATAGATAAGCAAGAATAAACAACCTTGAAAACAGCACAGACTAATTATGGCTTCTTCTTTGGCAACGGGGCAGAAAGACAGAGACTTTCTACAATCTCGGAATCACCAATACCCACAGATTCCGACAGAAAGACACCTGGTAAGATGAATCTCACCTCCTGTTCTGTGCAGGTATTTGTATTTCTATTGACTATTTAGGATAGCTAGATGAATTTCAGATGTCTAAAGTTAGGTGAGACAAAGCCCACTCTCAAGGCCTAGAAACCCCTCCCTAGAAGCTGCAAAACAGACAATGCTGCAGTTCTGTAAAATTTGCCAAAGCAATGACTATAGCATTAAATGTGTTCAAACTACCTGTACAGAGATATTTTTCAAGATATCCACAAGATATTCCTCACATAGGAAGATTTGAAGACATGTCCTTTATCTCTTCAGCGAATAAAACCCCCAAAATAGATTAGTTTTCTGAATTTAGCACTCTTGCTGTCACAATTATTTAACTTCACATGACTTAATTAGAATCATCCAATTCACAGAAAGACTAGTAAAGCCAGATAGGAAAGAAAATCAGAAATTGCTTACTCAGAGTGTGCGTAGGAACACAGGGAAAGATCTAAAGCAGTAAGAAAACAAAAAGAAACAGTGACAATGAGAGACATCCTGCAAATTTCCTGCGAGGATTATGTATTATTTAAACAGTGACAAAATCATAAGAGCCTGCACATTTGGGGCAAGATCAGAATAAGTGTGCTGTGAAAGCAAAATTTCTGATCACGAGACGTAGTGGAAAAGCTTTTAGCTAAGATGTAAATGACTAGAGGCGCAGAATACGGGGCTCCGGAGCTGTCCAAAGAGAAGTTCTGCTCCCGGGCGTCTTTCGGCAGAAGCAGCGCTCTGGAACTTACCGCTGCCGCTCCAGTGATCTGTGAGCGAAGTAGCCGCTTTGCCTTCGGGAGACAGAGAGCACGGTAGCTTGTAAGAGGCGAAGAGCGAAGCAGCAAAGAACCGGGCTTGTGTGCTCAGCTTTCAGACTGCTAGAGGACGGTGGCTGCCAATCTCCTGCCTGTTGAATTCACCTTAGCATGTGTATGTGTCGTGGTTTGACACGGAAGGGAATTTTCTCGGAAGGAAGAGGGTCAAGCTAGTCAGTGATTGTGGTTGGATATTGGCACTTGGGCTGACCAATTGAAGGCTGGACACACCTCTGAGAATACAGAGGGGTTAAAAGAACTCCCAGGGGAACTTTCTCTCTTTGGTTCCGGTCCTCAGAGAGTGCAGACTCCCCCCCCCCCCCCCCAGCCATGTGGCTGGGTGGTGGAGGGGAGCCATGCGGCCTGACTGAGGTATGGCCAAGGGGTGGAGGGGCTGGAACCAGGCTGACCCCCTGCAGATGGAAGTGTGGAGGAAAATCTGGGATGTCTGCGTTCTCCCCCCCCCCGCCCCAGTATCTCTGGAGAGAGAGAGACTGAGACAGCAACTGTGCCGACAGTACTCCGACAGAGCAGGAAGAGGGGAGGGGGGAGGGGCAAGGTGCCCAGCGTGGGAGCCGTCTGGGAATTTGAGACTTTTAACCCCTTCTTAGATGATGAAAGCTTTGTGAAATAGTGAAATATAACTCCTCCTCAATTTGAAAGAGAAGAAATGAGACAGTCTGGGACCTGAGATGTTAGAAGGAAAAATTCTAGGTGGGGGGAAGATGATGGAGTGGCTTTTGGCTGGACTTTTTCTTGTTAGCCATAGACTAAACCAATTTTCTCCTCCAAGAGAGAGACTGTATTTTAGGAGGATGCACAGTGAGCCAAGAGACTTGCTTCAGCAGCTGAGGAAAAAGACAGGAGTGGAGTGAACAGAGAAAAGTTGAGGAGGTTTGTGGTGATACCCCCTGTCTTCAGAGAAGAAGAAGAAAAGATCTCTGTTCTTGGACCTTCGGCCCCAGGGGAAAATGGGGGGGACTGCGGTCCCAAAAATAAAAAACTGAAGTGTTGGTTTTTTCCCTCTTGGCACAGCATCCTTGAAAAGAAAAATCTAAAAGCAGTCTGTCCATGCATTAGTGGTGAGAGCACTGTGCATGGGAAGGAGTGTCACCATGGCAAAATTTTTTCTCCAGGCGGTGCCATGCGTGACATGGAAACACAAGAGGTGGCAATTGTGTTTCTTGGGGGGTCTATGGCACAGGAGGGACTCCTCTCACCCTTGATGGACTGAGTATTGACTATCTGAAGGGTGGGAACTTGATTGGGGGTCCAAGTTGTGTGTCGCTGTGGTTTGTTGGAATTTGGGGGGGGGGGGGGAGGAGGAATGTCTTGGAAGGTTTTCATTTTCGTTTTAGTGTGGTTTTTTCTTTCTTTCTTTTCCCTTTTATAGTAGTAGTAGTTTAATAAAGTTTCTACTTTGTTATTAAGCTTGGGCCTGCTTTGCTCTGTTCCTGATCGTATCTCACAGCAAATCATTTGAGGGGTTGCATTTTCATGGGGCACTGGCATTGTGCCAGTTTCAAACCATGACAGTATGGAAGGCATTCCTGGACAACTTTCCTGTGGTTTTACTTAGTCCTGATGCAGGCCTCCTTATAAATTCTTGCTCATCCCCTGAGGCTCCGAGATGCAGAGAACTCAATGGGAGCTGCAGGAAAGAAGGGCACTGGTGAGTTTTTTAAGAAGCAAGAGCACAGACAGCTGTGCTTGTGAATGAGCAGGTGCTGGATTTTTTGCAATTGCCTTCACTGTGCACAAAAGCCCGGTGTCCTGCTGCTTCATTCTTTGCCTTCTGTGAATTGCACACTACTGAAGCTGAGTGAGGCTATTCAGCTTTGCCGCTTTTCAGCATCTGTGCTCCACCTATGCACTGTGATATCTCTCACGGTTTTTTGCCTTTGCCCGGCTGGAATGTGCCCGCTGGTAGAAGGAGCTTTGCAGGAGCGTGCAGAGAGCACAGTCATCTAACAGCAGTTTGCAGGTTGCCTGGGAAAGAGCAGTGTCCTTGGAATGTGCAGCAAATCATACATTCTGGGCAAGATCGGGATAAGTGCGCAGTGCTGTTACACTTTCTCCTTGCAAATTGTATTAGAAAAGCTTTTCGCTAAGATGTAGACGACTAGAGACGCAGAATACAGGGCTCCAGAGCTGTCTGAAGGTAAGTGACAGTCCCCTGCATCTTTTGGCAGAAGCAGTGCTCCGGAGCTTACCACTGCCGCTCCAGTGATCTGTGCGCCAAGTAGCCGCTTCTTTGCGCCTGGGAGACAGAGAGCACGGTAGCTTGCAAGAGGCAAAGAATAGACCCGTAAAGAAGAGGGCTTGTTTGCGCAGCCTTTAGACTGCTAGAGGACGGTGGCTGACACTGAAGATCCTCTAGCCCAACCCCTGGCCATGGGCAGGAACACCTTCCACTATCCCAGGTTGCTCCAAGCCCCATGCAACATAAGCTTGGACATTTCCAGAGATGGGGCAGCCACAGATTCTCTGGGCAACCTGTGCCAGGGCCTCATCACCCTCATCATTAAAACTTCCTTCCTTATATCCAATTTAAACCTGCCCTCTTTCAGTTTAAAACCATTTTCCTTTGTGCTGTACTGCAGGATCTGGTACAAAGTCCCTCTCCATTTGTCTTTGCCCCTTCTATACACTGAAAAGTCACAATAAAGTCTCCTCAGGGCCTTCTCCATGATGAACAACTCCCAACTCTCCCAGCCTATCTTCACACAGGAGGTGCTCCAGCCTTCTGTCCATCTTTGTTGCCTCTCCTGGACTTGCTCCAACAAATCCATGTCTTTCCCATGCTGAAGGCTGGATGCATCACTCCAGGAGTGGTCTCACCAGAGTGGAGTAGCAGGACAGAATCCCTCCCTCACAAACTGGAATGTACAGTAACAGATATTTCAAGAATCTGAAACAGCTCAATGATGTCAGGAAATTCAACTCAAATGAGAAAATACTTTCCAGAGACAGCTGTATATGACTTTTTAGTCAATGCCTCTCTCATATTTCACTATTAATCCATAAATTTACACATTTTGTAGTTTGGGTTTATTATTATAGAAATATAAGAATTAAGTCTCAGTGCCTTTTAGGGAAACACTACTTAATGTCTTTTTGAAAAGGCTGGGAGAAAAAAGGATGATACTCAAATGTTTTGTTGACTCCCATGCTCTGGAACATATCCGTGGCAGTCAGGATATATCACAGCCTACAGTATCCTAAACTAAACTGGTTAAAGGGCAGGGTAATGGGAGACTGCAGTGTTTTTACCTTATACCACCTGAACTGTGCTGAGCTGCCAGTCAGAAGAAAGACAAGACATGACTGTAAATAACAAGAAAAATAAAAGGACACAGATTTCCCCCATGCAGTGTACCAAAAGAAATCCAGTCCAGGATTACTTTTCTACTGGCAGCTGTGTCTTTCCCTGGCATCCCATCTAGTGTCACCCAGTCACACCCCGTCTGGTGGCCTGTAGCATTAGTGCCAAACCCTGGGGAAGAGGAGGGAATGCCATAGTGTTAAAAGAGGAGGAGGAGGAGAGTAGTGCCTCCTTGACCCCCAGCCTCACTGTG